AAAATTGATCGAGGTCAAGCCGTCTAGAGAGCTTTGAATTAATTACGCAGTCGTTAAAAACGCCTTCGGAATATTTCGTAAGGCATTGTTCGAGAATTTTAACTGCAAGCTTCATGCGAAATTTACTTTTGTATTAAAATTTCTTTCGTTCGAAACGTAAAAACAAACAACAAATCGCCATTAACGAGGATAAGGTTGGAGTCCCGCTGTTGCATTTCTGTGTATATTGCACTGGTTTCGCTGTTCCAAATAAAGAATTAATATATATATTTTAATTCTAAATTAATTAAAATTAATAGTAATTGTGATAAATTAACAAAAAAGTCATATCCATAGCATTTATTCTGCCACTTCTTATCCATTTGTAGTAATGAAGCTGCTTTCATGTCACACTGACATCGAATCTCTTCCTTGTGAAAATAACGGAGCAATTTCCTCAAATAACCAAAATAAAAATAAATAAATAAAAAATACACAATTTTCCGGAAAAAAGGGGGAAAAAATCCTAATCAATCAGGGAATTTTTCCTCACAAAACAGAAAAAGTTTATCCGACAGGCAATAAAGATAGCGTAATCTTTGAGATCACTTTTTTATTACGCTATATATTAATTAGAAGAGCAACATGATAAATTACAATTTCAGAAATAAACCAGATGCGAAGACATTTTGAAATAGTTTCCAAAGTTATAATTTAATAATAATGTAAAATAAATTATATTCGCTTCTGAAAGAACACGCCAAAATCAAATAATAATTCAAATTGGAGTAGGAAACGTACAAAAATATTCGAGAAATATGCTGCAAAGTTCGAAATTATTTATAAAGAATATTAAAATATAAAAAAGCATCTTGATAATTCTCACACAAAACCTGAATAAAGCATGAAGATCGAAAGAGAGAGAGAGAGAGAGGATTAAAATACAAAGAATATAAAGAGATCTGGAATGAATCATGAAGAATATTGAGAAAAACCAGAATAAAGTGTAGAAAATATTGATAAAGACTAGAATAAAGCACGAAGAATATTGATAAGGACCGAAATAAAGCATGAAGACAATTGATAAAGACTAGAATAAAGCATGAAGACAATTGATAAAGACTAGAATAAAGCATGAAAAATATTGATAAAGACTAGAATGAAGCACGAAGAATATCGACAAAGAATAAAGCGTGAAGAATATTAATAAAGACCAGAATAAAGCATGAAGAGTATTGCGAACCAGAATAAAGCGTGAAGAATATTAAAAGTATGCCAGTGACTCACAGTTTTATTCTTCAACCTCAGAGATAAGAATGGAAACGGTTGTTGATATAAACATTTGTTGATCTCACGTTTAACTGCGATTAAAATTGTTACATATACACATTCCACATGAAATATTTAACAAATAAATCAAAATAAATTTATACATCTGCATATTTACATATCTTCAAACTATAAATTTCATTTTTAAAACATAAAAATCTGCCTATTAATAACATTTTAATACGAATAAATTTTCAGTGTCAAATACCGAAGGCCTATATATACAGTATATAAGTTATATATACATATATGAATTATTCTGTATAATTTCTGTATAATCTGATTCGTATATATAATTTTATTTCTCTTTTTAAATCTTTAATGTAATCTAATTAACCATTAAAAAGAAAGCAAACGGAGCTAAGTTCAATCCAAAAATTTAAATTTAAAAAAAAAAATGCATAATTATACACAAAATAATGAATCCTAAATTAAATTTAGCATATTTTTTTTTTCCAGGAAAACAACTAAAAATAAATATTTTATAATATGGTTGATGATTTCTTGAATTTTTTCTTCTTCTATGGTTACACATGACATACTAATTAGATGCTCAATAACAAATTCCTTTCAACTGTTACATTAATTTTTCCTTGTATAAAAAATTTATATCTTTACTTTTCCTGATTTCGAAATCGGTAGGAATTTTTATATATTTATTCTTCAGCTATCATATGAAGATAAAAAATAATTATACAGCATAATCGCACTTGTCATGTAGAAGTTGTAATAATAATTCATTGAATAATAAATACCAGACAACGTTTTTAATATACATTTTAAAGTCACTGATTATAGACATTTAAAAAGTCAATTTTAGGGTTTTTTTTTTAACTTTAAATATGATAAAGTTTTGTGAGATGTTTTGATGAAAAATATTCTATTCATACGTCCAATGTTTAATTTAATTTCGTGAGAATATTGAACAGGTATTGCAAAAAGGGCGCAAATATCGATCTCAAACATGTATTTAGTATGTATGTAAACCTTATATATTAATTTATAGTTTATATGTACAGTACAGTATATACAGGTATACTGAATGTAGATGTGTGTTCTTGGTTTGTGCACGTGTACATACCATAAGCATTAATACAAGCATAGAATTCACTAATTTACTGTGTTGATAGCTACCAACACAATAAATTATTATAGTATAAATCAAAACAAAATGTATGTACAATATACGTGTAAATACATATTTAGACAGTTATAAAATTTGTATTTGTATAAACTTAACGTTATGAAAGGTTCATTTATTCACGACGTTCCACATACGTTCTTAATTATTATTATAACCAAATAAAGCCATGTAACTGAATTTATATTAATAATTAAACAAAGGCAAGGGTTGTGAGTCACACACTTCTAATTCGATGCATATTCCTTCCCCAGTTACTAAATTGTATTCGTTTTTTAAATATTTTAAATATAATTTTTCCCATAGAGAAATATTTTTTTATTGTTTTTATCCGTTGGTCACTTGGCTGCTGATACGATTTTACTTTAAAATTGCCATATTTTACAGCCATTAGACGACAAAATGATGGTTTATTTTTTTTTTCTGGCCGAGTCGGATCGAAGTTAAAGAGGACCAAAAATCGAATTTCGGAAATTCGAACAGATAACTGAAATCGATCCACAAAATTCAAATCTAATTCCTTTCTTGTTATATCTGTTTTTCTGCTCAGGAAATCTCCAAACAGGAAAAAATCCTCGAAATTGATTGTGTAATCGTTCTGAAGATCGAAAAAAACAAAGCCTAAACAAAACTACTCTCGTATTGTATAATTTACGATCAGAATCGAACTTTTAATGGATTAAATTTAAAACAAATTTCGCGTAGATTATTTAATGAATCCAAACAGAAGATTCTACATTAATTTAAAATCATTAAAAGACATTTCAAATTCACTTCTAGGAGAAGCGGAGTTCAGAACATACCACAAATACCAACTGGGCCAGACTAGGTGACGACTAAACATACGCTAGAGGATTAATCTCCGATAACTGACGTCATCTCCTCTCTTACCTCCCGCCTCCATCCTTTAATACATCTGTTAAAATTTTATAATATATCTAACCAAGTTGATATTGTGACTCAAAAACTAATCTTGGATACGTTCCAATATGGACGGCGGGAGGAAAGTCGGAACATTTTAATTCAGTTACACTTTTTCTATCGTGTTTTTCGGGATATAAACGTGCCAAAAATTTCGGCAAAAAGTTCAAGTACGATGAGTACCAAGTTTAAACATTTTTTTTCTTTTCCAAGAATATAAATTCGATGTATAGGCTTTTTATACGGAAAATAATGCCTAAAAATGGAACGATAATCGACTATTTACAATGAGCACGGATAACGATCGATGCTGGATTTATAACGCTACAGAAAAATTCAATCTCGAATTCTTTCAAAATATCTCCTTTCAACCCATCTGTATGATTCCCATATGTAACATGTGATGCAGTAATTGGTGCATTAAGGGGGCAATACCATTCAAGTAACCGAGCTAAAATACGATTTTAATATAACAAAGCTTACTCCTCTCGCTGTCCCCATTAAAATTAATGCTTTTCTACTAAATTAATTTACAAAACACAAACCCTGATTATAAATACAGCGGCGTTAAAAATTTCTTAGTTTAATTGTACATGTACCAGTATTATTCTATTATTTTATATACGTGATTTATTCACGAATTATGTATAATTTTTAATATCTCGTAAGCTCATTTAACAAACCGAACAAACTATAATTTAAACAGAAAACTACGTAATACAGTTTAAACTACGACGACCTTCAAATGCCTGCTTCTAAGAGTACACCCGGTTATTTCTGGAGTAGATCAATACAGCCACCTCTTCTGAACTTTGAATAAAGCATCAAATACACAGGTAAACAATCTCATAAAAGCAACCACTTCTCACACATTATACATATTATATATTATATTATATTAAAAACTTGTCATATCCTGTTTAATACAACACATCTCTAACGTTACAACGAATTTACATAAGCTGAAAATTCTTTATAATGTACTAAAATTATCTAATTTGCATAACTTGGCGAGTCATTAACATAATGAATATGGAAAGATTTTGATGTTCTGTATTAAAAAATTCGATATTATAGTGATAAATATGGAATAAACTGAAGTTTTGTTAGTAAAATTTTATAGAAGAAATTCATTTATACATGCAAATTATATGAAACTTAAAAATTAACTTGAATTTGGAGAAAAATATTAAAATATAATCGAATTCTTGCTTATAAAATTATTTAAAAGACTAATTTTGATGGATTAATCAATATACATAAGTACAGTACACTATATTAAACATCCATTGTATAACAGTATCATACTTGCTTGTAACAGTAATTAGTTAATTCATTATTATAGAATATATTATAACAGAAAAATACAAGAATTAAACTAAATTTTAAGTAATAAAATCAATTTTTAATCAATAAATTCGGTCACGGTATGAGTTACTTTTAGGTAATTTTTAATATACGTACATATAGGCAAATTAACTAAAAGTAACCTCTACTATCAATTTCAACATTACAGAAGCGCGCAAAACTCCTACACTTAGCTTATGTTATACACGTAAAAAAAACAAAACAAATACAATAATAATCCTGACGAAGGCGTAGGATCGCTTAAAGGAGTGAAAATACTTACAGTTCGACATCTTCCATTTATTTCCATGATCGCTGTTTCCATCCCTATTGGGTACAGTATTGTTATTATCCCAAATATGTCCTCCCTTCATTTCCGCACTCGAAATATACACACTTATATATATATATAAAAGAGGAAAGAAAATGGATCAATTTCTACATGGATCGTATCAAAATTGAAGTCTCGTACAAACACATATACGAATATCCAAGGGTAGGAGGCAAGAGTCGGCACTGCAGAGCGTACAATGACGCAGGCGCAGTTTTAGTATCGAGAGCGCCACAGCCGTTCACAGACCGCAGTTTCCTGGATATTCCCATTACGCTGTACGTTTTCCTTTTGTGAGACGATTTTTTTTTTTAATCGTCTTTAATTATCGACGAGAGTGCTGTTTATTATTTAATTATATCGTCTCCTGTTTTAAATTTATTTTAATTAATTTTTAAAATAAATTTAATACATAAATTGATCACTCGTGTGTTGTTGTGTTGTGTTTGTGTATTGATTGAATGAGGTATAATGGATATACGATTTTATTTATTATTTTATTTTCATTTAGGAAAAGGAAGTTGAATAAAATTACAAAAGATTGAAATTAAGAATTAAAGGTTAATGATCTTACAATTAAAACAAAATCGTATTAGCGAAAAAAAAAAAAACAGGAAGAAAATCACTCTTGATAGTGTTTTTTTTCGGGAAAAATCTTACATTTTTTTCCTTTTTTTTAAGGGTAAATATGGGTATATTTCGTTCTATTTTTATATATCATAAATTTCTACACTACGTTCGATAATTTTGATGTTTCCACATGTTTAAAGAGAGCGCAGACTACCTAACCCTCCAATATTAATGATCCTTACTTTCATATTTTTTTTAACACAAGATTTCTTCTTTATCCTGTAAATTTTTATGGCAATGGGGAAACAGGCAGACCATTAATATTATATACAGTCTGTGCCCGACTTTATCTGTGATAGATCGTATAAGAAAGAAATGTCATTTGATATGAAAACCGAGATGAACAAATCTAAATTATGGAAGAATTTTAAAAATTTGAATTAGGAAAAAAAACACACGTTTAAGATTATTATTTAAAGTTAAAATTATTAATCTTAATAGTTTATTAATGCCAAATATCCATAATGATGCTTGAATCTATAGTTTCTAGTAAAGAAATCAAGGCAAAGAATCATTAATTATTCAATTAAAATTTAATGTAAATAATGAATTTCACCTAATTACTATTCATTTTTTAATTTTATTGACAATTCTAGAAAATATTAACAATTTATTTAAAATTTTCAAGGCACTTTTAATATAATAATAATCGCTAAATTACTTATACTGAAGTGTGATGCCAAAGGCGTAACAAGGTGAGATAAGGCCAAAAACAGTCATAAATGTGGTTCCCCTCTTTCCGAAAGTCATTAAAATACATGAATAAGATCAATAAAACAAATAAAAAAATTCGATTTTTTTACAATTACGTTTTCTGCATTAAAAACTAAATTTTGAGGGAGGCCTTTTATGACGGGGTTTGGGGGAAAATATATCCCCCTGTAGTGTCTATAGAATATAAAATATAATTAATTATATAAAGTTAAATTTACATTATTAAGGAATTCGGAGGAAGTTTATATTGATTAAAACAATTACTCATATATTACGTCACAAATATTTTCGATAAGGACGAGTTAAAGTGTGAATTGAGGAATTTCCGGTATTTATCAGAAGTATAAATGAACTTCGTTGTTAAAAATAAATTAATTTTAAAATTTTATAATCTCTCGTACACAAAAATAAGCTAGAAAACAATTTTTTGAAAATAAATTTTTAAAATTTAAAGATTTAATATTTAAAATTAAAAAAAATTAAAATTGAATAAAAACAGCTCACATTGTAAGACTATAATTTTCATAGAATTGTTATTTTTACGTTGTAATTTATTCTAAGAATATTTTGATAATAATTTTATATAGTAAAAGAATTTTTCACGTATATTTCTCGTATTTAGGGGGTGGCCCAAAAGTCGGTTAACCGTGTTCCAGGTACATTCGTCAATACAAACTGTAAACTGGGTTTAGAAAATGTTTTCGTCTTCTACAAATTTGTTACAAGCATGACAAAAAATGCGATTTAATTATATTTTTTAATTGTATTTAATTCTTAATTTAATGGTTAATTGATTTTTGGACCATCCTCTTCACTAGAAACTGGAAAACCTTATATGAAAAAGAAAGTAAATTTATTATATAAAAGAATATTTTCCAAAGACATAGCCTAAAGGTTTATGACTAAAAACAAAATGTCATCCTAAAAAAAAAAAATTAGTCCACTTGACAACCAACAGATGGCGGCACATTTTTTTTCTTTCGAAAATAATCGATACAACTATAGAATTTTTTAAGTCATTAATTTTAAAATTATCTTTTCCATAATTTATTATTATTTTTTTTATGAATTTTTAATCAAATTTTATAAGATTTTCTCGTTTTATACGCCATGTTTTCGTTATAGATTATACCTGTACTTCAATTGCAATACTTTCACTTCAATCATAGAATATAAATTTCTAGAAGATTCTTGAATTTTTTTTTTCATTTTGACCAGCAAATTTAGTAAAAATAGAAAATTAATTTCTCGACTTCGCATGATTTTAACATTAATTTAATTAACCTAAATAAATGAAAACATATTTCATGTTTAAGCTAGAAAAAATAAAATAATAATTCAATTTTCTATAAATAATTGAATACTCGCATCTAATTTAATCCGTTTACATAATTTCTCTATTAAAAAGACAAATCCAGCAACGAGTTGCGTGACTTTTCCGGCAAAAAATTTAAAATTGTATACGGCGCCATCTGTTATATTTTATAAAAGACATTTTACAATATTAATTACAGTAGAGCGTCGTTTATCCGAATCAATTGGAAACTGGGGTTGTTCGGATAACTTGTTTTTCGGATAACCGATCACGTATGAAAAATATATTAACCTACCCCGTGTTGAAATTTTTCTCCGTTGCGTGTCGCTTCGCGTTGAATTTTCGTCGATATTAAGTCTAACGAAAACTTTTTAAAATAATAATCGCGGCTATTGTATCGTTAAAAATTATTTTTTTATTTTGTACAAACAAAATAAATATATTGAAAAATATAAAAACCAAAAAATTATACTTTAGAAGTTGATCTAGTATCAAAAACGTTCGATTCAGCACGACACAGTCCTCAGAAAAAATCACACAAAAGTGCCAGTGCTGCCATCTAAAACACACACACCAACAACAAAAAAATATTGGAGTAGCCCAAGATATAGCCAAAGATTGCTGCGCCACGGCACTAGCGAAAATTTAAATTTGCCAACCGGAATGCTTTCGGATAACCGATTTTCGGATAAACGACACTCTACTGTATTATAAAACGACAAAAAGCTTTTCAGGGTTCAGATGAGTTTTATAATAAAAAAATATTGTAAATGCTAATAATGAAATAAAATCTTCATTAAATCCGACCCCATTCGAGATATGACACATTTGATTCTCTATTTCTCCTCACCCCATCCACCTTTAACCATGAAAATTTAACAGCACCAATGCCCCTAATACACAAAAATCCCTGCAAAATTTCAGAAATTTTCGACAAAAGGCACAGGAGTTATTAATTAATTAATTAAGCTTCAAATTTGGTGAACAAAATCGTGCTCCCTACACACACTAACATACAGAAAACCCCCGAATATTTTTTAACTTCTCGACGTCTCAAGGTCCCATATCAAAAATGTAAATAAAAATCTTCGGGGGCCATATTTTCCCTCTGTCTCAAAGTAATATTTAAAAAGAAAAACTTTTTATAACTCGTATATTTTACTAGTCTGTCAGTCACGCTCTATTCCCGATACTGCTGAACACAGAAAATTCCCGCGATAAAAATATATTTCTACATACGAGTAAACTATTTTCGTGTCCCTCGACCATTTCGAAACAGAAAATTTTAGAATTTTTAGAATTTCTTCGACTTAGAAATGTCAAAGTTTTTTCCCCCCCTAAAATAAAAAATTTACTCCCAAAAATGTTAACGTCACTCAAACAACAGCGTAATTTGATTAGAACTACGTTGATACTATTCAAAAAAAATAAATAAATAAATTCGAAAATGCCCAAAATGGCAGCCATTCAAACGAGACAATGATGTAGCTCGTACAAAATGAATTAGCTAACACAGCGAATCTTTTTATTTTTTCCTTTCCTCAACCTATAGATCGATGGACAGCTTATTATTCTCTTAACATTTTCCTTTCTTTAGCCAGCTGTTTGATCACACAATAAGAGTTCTTCTTTAACGTCAGCCAAGTATATTGTTCCAGATCTTCCTCTTCCTGTTTGCTCTTCAAATCCTCCTTCAAAAACGTGTGGTAACCAACTGTTTTATCACACATCCAAGTATATTGCTCTTCCTAATTTCCTCCGAAATTCCCCTTCAAGAAGTGTGATATACCAACCTAAATGTCTCAAAGGATGCTCTTCCTTCAAATTTTAATTGTTTCTAGTAGTCTTTATTTTCCTGGCACTACATTATTCTATCCGTCCAGTATATTCTCATCCGGTTCTAACACCATATTTCGAAATTTCAGTTAAGAATAATTGTTTAAATTTTCGAATTTTCGGAAAAACAAAACAGCGTAACATATATTTTGTATGAGATAAATTTGAAAATAACCAGCTTCATCACTTTAATGTGATAGCACATCAAGTTAATGTTCATTGCAAATTTACAAGTGTAGCAGGTGTTACAAATACAATATAACTCAGTAAAAAGAATTGTAAAGTATCTAAAAATCAAATTACTTTTAACTAAAATAAAATGTGGAATATATTTAGAAAAAATCTGATTTAAATCGTTTGAAAATATAAGAAACAGTTTCCATTCCCAAGACGGTGAAACAAAAATAGAAGCATCACTTTTCATCTTAATATAAGAAAAAACTGACAAAATCAATATGGCTGATCCTTAAATTAATTACGTAAACAAAGAGATTACCATGTTTTATTTTCCCGGCTGTTATATAACAGAGGGAAATAATGGCGATTGGTCAAAAATTGTCCCCGAGATTTTTACATTTTTTGATCACAGAACACCTTGAAACATCGAGAAATGCAAAAAAGTTGGGAGCTTTTTTTTTTCTATACGTGTATGGGATACGAGTTCTTGGTCCACTTTAAAGCTTAATAATTCCTGTGCGTTTTGTCAAAAATTTCTGAAATTTTACAGGGACGTTTATGTATTAAGGGGAGATGTTACTAGAAATTTTCAGGAAAAT